CCGATATGTCGAGGACCTCGAATTCGATTTAAAGTTTTATAAATTTTTTTTATATATCGTTATATTAATTATAAATTATTTATTTCCTCAATAATTAGTTAATTATATATTAGCATTATCAATTAATTTTACAAAATAGTTTAACAATTCGTTTTGATAAATTATTTCATGATATAAATTGTTAAAATCATTTATAAAATTTAAATAAAAAAAAAAAACTCCAACGGCTATAATTAAAAAAAAAAGAAAAAAAAATAAAAGTTGCCGCTAAAATTGCTAAAACAAAGAGAATTTTGATGAAATTCATCTTGAGAATTTTTTTTCGTGGGAGAAGAGAAGAGAATAGGATGATTTGGTGTGAGTTTTTGAGTGAATGGGTGAGTGTATTTATAGGGTAAAATTCACTATTCCTAGCCGTTGGGGAGGAGCCAAAATTTGATTTTTTTTATTTTTTTTTCTTTTTTTTTTAATTATAGCCGTTGGAGTTTTTTTTTTTTATTTAAATTTTATAAATGATTTTAACAATTTATATCATGAAATAATTTATCAAAACGAATTGTTAAACTATTTTGTAAAATTAATTGATAATGCTAATATATAATTAACTAATTATTGAGGAAATAAATAATTTATAATTAATATAACGATATATAAAAAAAAATTTATAAAACTTTAATCGTAAACTTTATTACTAACACATTTTTTTTTGTTCAAAACATTTTCCGTATAAATGACCATCAATATTATATATATGATAATATTTTGCATGGTGAATATTTATAATTTATATAGATTAGATAATATAATTGTTTATATGTGGCGGTATTACCATATGCAGAAGTAAAATAATTTAGACGGCATTGCCGTCCATAAAGAATAAACACAATAGTCTATTAGTAAGTACGGCGGCATAGCCGTCCAATATTAACAATTAAGGCGGCATAGCCGTCCAATAACAGACAAATAATTAAAGCGGTAAAGCAGTCCAAATTAATAATTAAGGCGGCACAGCCGTCCAATAACGAATAAATATTTAAGGCGGCATAGCCGTCCAGATTAACAATTAAGGCGGCAGAGCCGTCCATAAATAGTAATAATAAAGGCGGCATAGCCGTCCATGAATAATAATCGAGGCGGCATAGCCGTCCATAAATTAATTATAAAGAATATCGGTATTCATATATAGCTTGGGGTAATTCCACTCAAGCATCAATGAATACATATATATATATCATAAGATTGAAAATATTTGTATTAAAGATAAGTTATCTTACCTTTAGTTATAGAAGAGCGCTCGTGCTGATAACGTATTATGAATTCGGAGAGATATAAACGACCCGGATATTAGATCGTTTAACTATAACCGAAAAGAGTATTTTGGGAGAATGGAGAAAGATGTATTTCTTATTGATTTCTCTCTTGAAAGTGTACAAATGAAAGAACCCAAATGACCTATTTATAGAAATCCCGAAGTTACTGTTCACGTATACGGTCGGTGTGAACAGTACCGTATATATGAACAGTAAGTCGGTGTGAACAGTAACGGTGGGCTCCACCATAAATATATTTTATTTATAACAAACTAGAGTTTTTTTTGGTTTTTAAGATTCAAAAACTTGGAGAACCACTTTAACGATGATCAATACATTGAATAAGATTATGGTTTTGAGTATGTATGTAAAATATGCACACTGCTTATGTCTAGTTTTACAGTTTCGTATTGATCTTAATTTATCATAATAAGTTAGCATTCCACCTCTGTCCCTTATTTTATTTTTTGGGTAACTGTTACCCCTTTGTTAACTAAATCAATTATGAAATATAAAAAATAAAAAAATAAACATATTTTCGGATATTATTATATAGTTCTTACAAAGGGCATGATTTCTAATTCAAAAAAATGGGGCCAAATTCCAAACTTGGTACACTGAATTTTAAATACAAAGAAAAAAAAATTAGCCCACCTCCCCTTATGATAGAAAAAAAAAACTTTTAAAACGTGGAAATAAATATAATATATTTCGCTTACCTATAAATAGAATCCATAACAAAGTTCCAATTCAAACATATATCACATGAAATTTCTATACTTACCCAATCAAGCTATGGAGCCACAAAAGACCACCTCGTTGGTGTTCAAAGTACATCGCCGGGAGCCTGAGCTGATCTGTCCGGCCAAGCCAACACCACGTGAGCTCAAGATCCTCTCCGGCATTGACCATCAAGACTTTATACGATGCCACCTTCGTATGATCTTTTTCTTCCGACACAACCCTTTGACCAAAGGCAACGGTAATAACAACCACTCCGACCCCGTAGAAGTGATACGCAAAGCCCTAGCCGAAACGCTCGTTTACTATCACCCGTTTGCCGGCCGGCTCCGTGAAGGGCCTGACGGGAGCCTGTCGGTGGACTGCAACGGACGAGGTGCGTTGTTTGTGGAGGCGGATGCTGAAATGGCGCTCGATGAGTTTGGAGATCTCTGCCCTCCTTTTCCTTGTTTGGAGGAGCTTCTGTTTCATGACGAGGGTCCGAGGGGGTTCCTTCACTCTCCCTTGCTTCTTCTTCAGGTTACGTATCGCATGTTGAGAAATTAATTACGGCAATACCTCAAATCTCAAACAACCTTATTAACCATGTTTTAGATAATTATATTCTCAAGTATATTACTGTCTGAAACATTTCATACCGTCCTTACTTCAAAAAGATGCCAATAGAAACTGATTACAAAATAAATATATTATCATTTACTAATTTCCAAGGTTACTAAATATTTTTTTTTTTGCGTGTGTCTAAAACGGTATAGGTTACGCGGTTAAAATGCGGAGGCTTTATCCTCGCATTCAGCTTCAACCATGCCATATGTGACGGTGCCGGTCTAGGAATATTCTTAAGAACACTCGGGGAATTGGCGAATGGTGCAAACGCGCCATCCATCCCACCCGTGTGGGACCGCCACCTCATGGGTCCCACCGCATGCACACGAGGACGTCCACGTGGCTAGTGATACCACTCCACACCACGAATCCGTGGTCCAACGCTCGTTCTTCTTCGGCTCAACGGAGATCTCAGCCATACGTAGACTCGTCCCGTCTGATCTCCATGGCCGCATCACCACCTTCGAACTGTTGGTGTCATTCCTCTGGCGCTGTCGAACCCTCGCCCTGAGACTGCCCCCAGACGCCGAATCGCGTCTCATGATCGCCGTTAACGCACGTCCCCTCCTTCTCCGCAACCGGCCGCTACCGCCGGGATACTACGGGAACGCCGTCGTGTTTCCGGTGGCCATAGCCACCGCCCGAGAACTATCAGAACAGCCTCTAGTATACGCTATAAGACTGCTGCAAGATGCAAAATCCAGCGTGACGGAGGAGTACGTGTGGTCCGTGGCCGGTGGCTTAGGAACAAGAGCTGGGAAACACCTGATCATGTCAGAGACGTTCTTTGTATCCGACACGAGGCGTCTCGGCTTGGACCAGGTCGACCTCGGGTGGGGCCAGCCGGTGTACGGCGGAGTCATGGGGGGCGGTTTGGGGGGATTTGACGGAGCCACTTGGCTCGTACCGTGGAAGAATAAGAATGGTGAGACCGGAACCGTTGTGTCTCTTCTATTGCCGGGGCCGGCAATGGAGAGGTTCGCCGAAGAACTTGCTCTTGTCTTCAACAACGACGGCTGTAGCAACCCTATATGAGATCTTCGCTCTAGAAAAAAATACCGAGAGAAATAAACAATAAAAATTAAATGATGCAGTAATATTTAAGTAACTGAATAAAATATACACGGTCACACACACACACACACATATATATATATATATATATATATATATATATATATATATACACATAGGGTTATTTAAGGTGTCGTTGGTGTAAAAGCCGTAGTAATTGGAGTGGTTGATACTTGGCAATTGTTGAATAAAATTATAATAAAATATACAATGTTGTTTAAACATGATTTATATACTTTTATTTTTGTTTGCTTGTTGTTTTCTCATTCTAGATTTATATAAATTCATCAAATTATTTTGTAAGATGCCCGGCGACGACATTAATAAATGTGATCGGGGTGGATTTATTTGGTTACAGCTAAATCTGGTTTGATTATTTTAGATTTTGAACATTTATAATCAAATGGTTATTTTACATAGACTATTTAAAAAGTATAATTTCTTCTGATTTCTCCGTAAAATTTTTCAAACTATATCAACAATTTTAGAATAAATTTAAATTTTCATGCACGAACATCAAGTTTATTCTTTAACAAAAAAAGTGTATCTATTACTTTTTCATTTGTTTCATATCATACTAAATTTATGGCACTAATATTTCAACATCCAATTAGTAACCATAAATATATAATAATTGAAGTTCTCCACCCCAGGCACCATCTTGGTACAACCTTTAACAAAAAATAAAATAAAATAAAAGAATTGAAATTCTTAACATGTCCATAAACTCCCATTATTCATAAATTTAATATTGATAAATTGATTATCAATGGCGATGAGTTCAAAACTAATTATATATAGGGCCAACAAAATAATAATTGAATCGGCTTGGTTTTCATTAAAGTGGCAAACGGTTTTAACGCAATTGTTTGTGATTTCGTGACCACTGTATGCAATTAGAAAATTGAACGGTTTAATCGCAATCGAGAATCGTCCATACCATAATCGTAATAAAACGTGAAAAATCCAATCGTAATTTTTTATATGCGTTTCGACATACAGCGATTTACGACGTTTAGTAAGAAGACCAAAATACCCTTACATTTATTTTTTTATTAAACTCTGTAGATATATATCCACACAATCATACATATAGATACATATATACATTCAATAACGTATTTTCTATTTTAAATATATTCCCTTTGGCTGCATATATATTTGTTCACGCCTGTGTGTTGGTAGAAAAACATTCGTGGTGTTTAGCATCTGTCCTATCCGAGTTCGAACCTGAAATTTGGGGAAAATCATTCATGGTTTTTCCGATCCTTTAATCACAAAAAAACAATTGATCTCATTTCATATTTCACGGATATAAAACCACTAGAAATATAAAATCCCATATGTCCAAATACACCGCAAGAACCATACATCATCGATTATATAAAATCCTTGCGCGGTTCAAGAGAGGAAACGGCATGGACGAGGCAGTCGAAAAGGGCATCCGGGGCGGAGAAGAAAGCCGAATGATCGCTCTCGTTCAGGACGTAGAACCGAGAGGGAGGCCACATCTTCACCATCCGGTCCTGCCTCACAGGATCGAACAGATTATCCTTCGCCGTCTTTATATACACTCGAGGTATTTTCTCCGCGTCGGTCGACGCAGGGACCTTGCCGAGGCCCTGCAACGCCCTGAACGGAGCCGGCCGTAGTAACTTCGACGCAAGAACAACGTCCTGCGAAATAAAATACATGTATATATGGACCGCCTTTGAATTTGAATTGAATTGAAATGAGATTATATATATATATGTATATATATGTATATATATATATATATATATGTAATGTAAAAGGGTTCTTTTTATTAAAACCTCGAGAGGGCTTTGGTTGTAATAAAAGCGACGTATGTATCGTTTCTTCATGATGATGGCAGTTGGTGGTTTGTCTGCACCTTCGCCATATATGTATTCCCATATTTCTCCTCCATCTTTATTTCTTTGATCTTCTAAAAATGGCTTTTAGAACACACAACACCAACCTTATTGATTAGAGATTCGAAATTTTGTTTACTAGGTGCTTCCATTTTGTTTCGTTCGGGAAAAATTCAGTAAAAATACACGAAATTGTGAAATAAATACATGATTTTTTTTTTTATAAAAAAAAGGTTATGCATGAATATCTCAAAACTATCATATCTCCGCAAACAGAACCGTGGAGTATGTCATCTGATTCTGTCTGATCTAAATTGGCAATTGGATGTTGACATGACTGATCATAGAAAAGATGAGACCCCAGCAAGAAAAAAAAAATAGAAAAAAAAAGAGACCGATATTCACATATATATAGATGTATGCATGTATGTGTAAGAACTCACATATGGAGCAGCCGTGGAAGCCGTACCACCAGGCCGAGTCATATCGGCAGCGGGGCTGACATCCACCAGGCGGAGTCATATCGGCAGCGAGATAGACAGCCATAGAGATCTTGTCGGGGAACTTGCAAAGAGCTTCTGTGACGCTCCCTCCTCCCACACTATGCCCGACCAATATCACCTTTCAAATGTGTGTAACCGCAGATATGTTATAATACCCCTCCGTTTCTAAAAAAAAATATCGTTTTACGGAATATTTTTTGTTACTAATTAGATATCGTTTAAATGTTCTAGGTGATTTTATAAGAAAATTTACAATTCTACCATTAATTACAAAAATTAATTTTAAAAAAAATAATGGAAATGTAATTTAATAAAGATATACATGTCTTTTTTTATATATATTTTCTTAATATTTGTGAAAAAAATCTAAGCTTTTAGAAACGGAGGGAGTCGGAAGAAATTTTTTTTCTGAAATTATCTTTTGTTATGATTATTATTAGTTAGTTGCAACAATCAGAAAAAAATATGTTTTTTGTTACGAACAATACAAATTATTGAATCTAACAAAAAACTAAGACAAAATAATTATTTCTTTTTTGCCGTTACCTTTGGGTTTTTGAATCTAGCAGTTAAAGAAAACAGATTAGTGCAATAACCTTGGAGAGAGGGGGCAAAGCCGACAGGAAGGAGAAGAGAGGTCGATTGTAGTCGTCGGATTCAAAGACGGTGTTGGAGTCGGTGAGGCTGATTCCGGCGCCGGAGAGATCGACGGCGGTAACTTTCCGGCCAGATTTTTCAAGGAGGGTTATGAGTTTGTACCAACACCACCCTCCATGGCTTGCTCCATGCACCAACACAAAGTGCTGTTTCTTCTCTTCATCTCCTCCTTCTGTCCCCTTTGTCCAAAATACTACACACAAACCCCCCAAGAAAAGTTATCAAATAAAAAAAAATGAATTTGTAGGCGCATATATATATATATATATATATATTTGTTGTATGCAGAATGATAAAAATACCTGAAAAAACGAGTATGATGAGAATTAACGATAGCTTTCCCATAGTTACTAGAGAGAGAAAAAAAAACTTTTTTTTTCAATCTCCTTTGGTTTTTTGTCGGGAAAGGGAGGGGGTGAGTAGCTATGAGCACCCGAGATCTTATCCGAAAGGTCCGTGACAATTTTTTTGTTTATTTTCTTCATTGGATTTTCGAAAATATAATAAAAAAATGGGTGAATTCGTCAAAACCGATGAGATTGGTTTGACCCTTTGAAAAAGTATCAATAATTCCAAAATCAATTTCAGTATAAAAATATAAAATATGGATAGTTATAGCAGAGTTATTTATGTTTAGACATTTCTAATATTCCATCCAAACAAACGCAAATGAAATATATGGTCACTTTTGAATTATCTTTTTTTTTCCTCTCTTATAATTTTCTTTAACTATTGAAATATTTATGAAAACATATCGTGTTTAAATATCTGTTTTTTCTACTAAATTCAACACATATTGTCTGTTTGTATATTTTCTTTATTTATTTCTGCCGTTGCTAACATACACACACATATATATATATATATATATATATATATTTCTACCAAACTAATGATTCAAGAATCAGATGGGTCGGATCTAACAAAGCCCATATAAATTTTGGGTTCACAGTAAGATGGATTGGGTTATAAGAAATTGAATTTCACAGAACTGGATTTTTGTTTATAAATAGAAAAAAAAAACTGGATTTTTCAGATGTTATACGCAATGTTCTTGTGTTTCTTGCCATGTGCACAGATTGAGATTCGTCTTAAAACAAAGATGCGAAGAAGATGACACGATGATGTTGGGTATTTATCTTTGTTTGGATCCAAAGAGATTTTTAAAAAAAAAATCACAAATTCATATATATATATATATGAAATAAAAGCGTAGGAATACTTGGGATGGAAGAAATTCTTAAACCCTTGTGCCAGAGTTCCATGTTCTTTCTTTTTCCTGGACTTGTCCATTACTCTTTTCAGTACCAATATTCCAAAACTCGATCCACGAATTTTGCCAATAGTACGAAAAATGTTTGGAATATTTTTGTCCTATGCAAATTTCGGTCTTTAGAATACAAAGATTTAGAGAGAAGCAATACCCATCAACCCTTGAGCTCCAAGAAAAAGATCCATTCTTTTTTTTTTGTATTAATAAATACCCAATTGATAAAATTTTGGACCATGACTTCATTGACCAATAATACTATTGTTCCTGTCATTATTGTTACTCCTGTTTGTTTAATTCAACGTAAAGCTGAAAGAGATAGGAGAAAATGAAAGTGGGGATCGCGGTAGTGTTAATGGTGTCTCTGGTTTTGGGATTCTCGTCGGCGGCCGATTTCAGATGGAGGAAAACGGCGTCGTTTGGTGGATTTTTCGGCAGAGCGCCTTCCTCTATCGTGTTCCCTGTCCATGGGAACGTTTATCCTGTCGGGTACCTTGCAGAAACCCTCATCTCTACTTCCGCGATCATCAGCGGAAAAAAAAACATCGCAAATTTCATCCTCTGCTCCTTTCATGGTGCAGATTTCTCTAATGGGTCTGTTTTTTTTTTTTTTTTTTGGTGGGTTGAGATAGGTATTACAATGTTACAATCAACGTAGGGCAACCATCGAGGCCATATTATCTGGATCTTGATACAGGCAGTGATCTCACATGGCTTCAATGTGATGCTCCTTGTGTTCGTTGCGTTGAGGTAACAAAACATATTCAAGCCGAAATCTCTTTTTCCATTACACAGTTTAAGGAATTGTCCGGAATCAGACATAGTTACAGACATTTTGAACAGAATGTTTTCGAATGTCAATGTGATAAATTCTCAGGCACCTCATCCACTTTATGAGCCGAGCAACGATCTTATTCCCTGCAAGGATCCTCTCTGCAAGGCGCTGCATTCACATGGCGACCAAAGATGTGAGGCGCCTGAGCAGTGTGACTACGAGGTCGAATATGCTGATGGTGGATCTTCTCTCGGTGTTCTTGTTCGAGACGTCTTCTCCTTGAACTACACGAATGGAGCCCGGCTCAATCCTCGTCTTGCCCTCGGGTTTGGGCTTCTCAGAACTCATATCATCTTCTTGACTCCGCATTTTTCCTCTTTTTTTTCGTCTGAATTTCTCGAATGTGTGTGGCAGATGCGGGTACGATCAAATCCCGGGCGGGTCGAGCCATCCTCTTGACGGAGTGCTGGGGCTAGGGAGGGGGAAAGTTAGCATCTTGTCGCAACTTCACGGCCAGGGCTATGTCAGAAACGTTATCGGTCACTGCTTAAGCAGTTTAGGCGGAGGGTTTCTCTTCTTTGGGAGCGATCTTTTCGATTCTTCGAGGGTCTCTTGGACACCGATGTCACGCGAGCACTCGTAAATTCACCATTCTATACCATGTTTGAATGTCCTATATAGCTTGATACCACCTTCCATGTTCATGTCAGGAAACATTACTCTCCTGGCCCGGGAGGAGAGCTTCTTTTCGGGGGTAAAACTACCGGGTTAAAGAATCTGCTCGTAGTCTTTGACAGTGGCAGTTCTTACACATACTTCAACTCGAAGGCATACCAGGCCGTGACGTATCTGGTCAGTGTTTCTGAGAAACATTTACTTATGTAATGAACGTTTTAGCTTGTGTACTGTCCGGTTATATAGAAAATTGTTGTCGGCATTTGGGTTTGCAGCTAAGGAGAGAACTGAGCGGAAAACCGTTGACAGAAGCAAGGGACGATCATACGCTCCCTCTGTGCTGGCAAGGCCGTAGACGGTTCTCGAGCATTGGCGAAGTCAAGAAGTACTTCAAGCCTCTGTCCTTCAGCTTCAAAACTGGATGGAGGTCCAAATCTCTCTTTGAGATTCCCCCTGAAGCTTACCTCATCATTTCTGTAAGCACTTTCCCTCTTTCAGTACTCGGTTTCTGCATTATCGCCGTCAAATCTCGGGTAAAACCATTCGAATTTCGGCTTCAGATGAAGGGAAACGTGTGCCTGGGAATCTTGAATGGCACAGAAATAGGTCTCCAAAACCTAAACCTCATCGGAGGTAAGAATATTTCCAGTTTTCAGTACACAAATCTCCGGGTTTTCCGAGTTAAACTCGTTCCTTTTTTCCCCGGCAGATGTATCGATGCAGGATCAGATGGTGATCTACGACAACGAGAAACAGTCCATCGGTTGGATGCCCGCGAATTGCAACGATATTGCCTCGTTAAAATCTTCAGAAGCTTACGGATACTGAAGAAACTACAAAAAAATATCTGTGTAGATTGTGTAAGCCTTAGTAGATAGATATATCTCTATTCCCTCCATACAGGCCTGAGAAAATATGGTAGAGAGAAAGTAGAATATGTAATGTACATTTTCACTACATGAATTAAGAAATCTCTCTCTCTCTCTCAGTCATGAATCTCCTGTAAAGATCTGCAATATCCGACCGGACAACTGAGCAGCAGCGCCTTCGGTATCGGTTTCGGTTAACCGAACAAGATGCTGAACCACAATTACGAACAATAACAGGATTGTTTCAAAAGGGCTTGAGCAGATCCATGAACACGTCTTGGAAATGTTGGAACTGGTCGGTACGGTGTCCGACATGGTTATTACCAAAAGGGTCATCTCGTAAGCAATCGAGGCCGCCGAAATAAATACACGATCCATCCAACGCATTGCCCTCTGATCCTCTCCACTTCAGATCACTCTGCACTTCCATTTCGCACGTTAACTCCGACGACGACACGTGCTCGGTTACGTCAGTACACGACACATCGTTGTTCGTCTTCGTATCCCCGTCCTTCTCGGGCACATCGTCTGGACAATAACACTTCTCGATCGCGCCTTTCTTGTTGTACAAACGACATAACACCCAATCATCCAGCTGAAAAACCCAGATTTCAAAACCAAAGGTCAAGAAACACAAGCCAAGATCGGGAAACGAATCAAGGAAAGATAAAAGATTCAATCTTTTTGTATACCCTCAGAGCGTTGTTCTTGTTGGGAAGGGAGCGGTCGACGTTGGCGAGGCGGTACTCGTGCATGATCCAATTGGTTTTGATGCCTTTGGGAGGTTTGCCGGCGTAGAACACGAGAGCCTTCTTGATGGCCAGCGGCTTCGGATTGCCGACGGGCTTGTCGGCGCCGGTGGCCTTCCAGTATCCTCTTCCCGCCACCCGGTTCGGCCTCGACCCGTTCGGATATTTCCGATCCCTCGGAGAGAAAAAGTACCATTCTTTTTCGCCATACGACGCTAAATCTGTGATGCAGAAAGTACAATAAAAACGACAGGTTCATTGTTGATGACTTGATGTCAAGAAAGACATAACCGCCTTTCTTTTCAGAATGTAATTTTTTACTCCAAAAAAACCTTGATTTGTTTTTTTTAATTTTTAATTTTTTTTTATATTTTAACTAAATAAAAACAGATAAATTAATAAAAAATTAGCGTTTTTGTAAAGAAATTCATCTCAAACCCGGTTATAACGATATGAAATCAAATCACTCCTACTCAACTGAAACCGATACAATACAATTCGGACCGAACTCAAAAAAAAAAAAAAAAAAGTTGATGAGAGTTGGACTAACCGTGTCGGAAATGAAACCGAATTTTACTCTATTTTTGGTACGGTTCGACGCCGGTGCCCTTCCAGTATCCTCTTCCCGCCACCCGGTTCGGCCTCGACCCGTTCGGATATTTCCGATCCCTCGGAGAGAAAAAGTACCATTCTTTTTCGCCATACGACGCTAAATCTGTGATGCAGAAAGTACAATAAAAACGACAGGTTCATTGTTGATGACTTGATGTCAAGAAAGACATAACCGCCTTTCTTTTCAGAATGTAATTTTTTACTCCAAAAAAACCTTGATTTGTTTTTTTTAATTTTTAATTTTTTTTTATATTTTAACTAAATAAAAACAGATAAATTAATAAAAAATTAGCGTTTTTGTAAAGAAATTCATCTCAAACCCGGTTATAACGATATGAAATCAAATCACTCCTACTCAACTGAAACCGATACAATACAATTCGGACCGAACTCAAAAAAAAAAAAAAAACAAGTTGATGAGAGTTGGACTAACCGTGTCGGAAATGAAACCGAATTTTACTCTATTTTTGGTACGGTTCGATTCGCTTAGCATTTTAAATACATATTATCAAATAATCCCTTGCATCGAACATTCATTCATATGGCGAAAATGTTAAACAAACCCATCCAGTGTTTTGAGAGTGTAAAGAGATACCCGGAAGCTGCCAGGGATCGTACTTGTAGAGATCGATATCGGCGATGACCGGAGCGGAGATGTGTTCTCCGGCGCATTTCCGGCATAGGTAGTGATCCACGAGCTCCTCGTCCGTCGGATGGAATCGGAATCCCGGCGGCAATTCCATCTTTATTAATTCCACCGGAAAAATACCAAATCAAGTTCCGGGAGAGGAAATGAAGGAACGAACAGAGGGAGACTGCAAACCTTATATATATACATATGAGAGAGAGAGAGAGAGAGAGAGAGAGAGAGAGGGGGTATCTGGACCAGCCACAAACATGGGAATGGGACGTTTGGGACAGAGAACCTGGTCTTTATTTTTAGATCTTTGAAATTGCAAATATGGTCCCTATACTACTATTGTTTTTCAAAATAAAACCCTTATTTTACGCGATAGATATTTAAAGAAAAAATAAGAAACAAAAGTTATAATTCCTACTCATACACTGTTCTTATCTAATGATCATTAGAAAAATAAAATCTAATATGTATGAATAGTTCATTTGTCTGTACATTTTAAATTTATCGATTCATGATATTAGAGACCTTAATCTATTTTGGAAATCCAAATAGTCTATAAAAATATATAATATTGTATTATATGTGTATGGTTTTAAAAAAATAGTAATGTCTATTTTCACCAATATTGTTGTTTATATTCCATTTTACCTGAAAATAAAAAAAAATGCATATTTCTACCTTTTCATCTGTTATCAGGTTTTCCTCTGCGTGCAGGCGGCAGATGGGACTTTATGACAAAATTTTAAAATAATACAATGTTATTAGAATAAAACAAAAAATGAAGGACCTTTTAGCAAAGTTTCATTTGAAATAATATTCAAAGATGACTGCAGTATGTCAGAGTACACGTGTACCGCTAATAGTGGAGCGCTGGTCATGCGCCGCATATAAGACGATATGGTACGTATCATTCTTATTTGGTACGCTGGAATTCCGATTCGATCTATATATATTTTCGAAAATCTAATTATTTCAATTACTTGTATTGGATTTGAATAGTGAAAATAAAATATTTATGAATTTGAATTTAGATTTTATTTTATTTCAAAAAATGTTTTACCTATAAATATTCAATCATATATTAATTTTTCTAATTTATATTATAGAGTTATATATATATATATTCATGAAATTATCTATAAAAATTATCATTAATCTTGGTTATAGAATTGTTATTAAAATTAATGATAAAATCGTCAGAATTCAGACTCTAATAAAAGTTTCTAAAAATAATTTATGATGCTTGAAATTCGCAACAACAGAAAAATTATCTAAATAATAATTTTTTATAACCAAAAAAAAAAAGTCTGCCATGGGCCATACCAGCCTACCAGGAGATGGCACTGGAAGTTTGACTGTTTGCAAAATAAAATGTAACCAAGTTTGTCCAAATCTATTAGTAATAAATATCATTCTGGTTTTATGGTTAATAACAGGGCCGTCTAATAGGGTGTGCAAGTGGTGCCATGGCACAAGGCCCCCAATTTTTTAGGGCCTCATTTTTTAAAAAAAAATTATTTTTAAAATTTGATAATTATATGGGTTTTAAATAAAAAGATAAAATTTATTATAAAAAAAATATAAAAAAGTTAAAATCTGATTAAATTACGGTAGATTTATTTTATTTTATAGTAATCTTAAATTTTTTGAAAAATTTGAAACAAAATAAAAATATAATTTGATAACAAATATAAATAATTTTTAATCAATATATATTTTAGAAAAACATTAAACAAATTAGTATATAAGAATATTTCAATCAAAAAAATTATAAACAAAGTTAATTTTAATTTTTCTTATTAGTATATAAGAGTATTTCAATAAAAAAATTATAAAATACGTTAATTTTAATTTATAAATATATATATATATGTAAATCATTTACATATATTGAACAGGGCCTCCCGTAACTTTGAGACGGTCCAATATAATTAAACTTAGTGTAACAAGGTAATTTTAATATTTATAAGGGATCAATATTAATTGCTTTAAACATCGAACTAAAAACATTATTATCATCATATATTGGTTTAAATCTGGATAATAAATTAAAATGTGAAAAAAAAATCCTAACTTTGATGGTTTGGTGGTAAGAGATCATGAAAAATATGTTTTTATTTTATATTTCAATAAAAAAAAATATAAAATAAGTTAATTTTAATTTATAAATAAATATATATATATATATATATATATATCTCTATTACATATATTGAACAGGGCCTCCTCTAACTTTGAGACGGCCCTGGTTAATAACTAAACATGATGAAGATTAATGGTCATTCTATGATATTAAAACATACCCACGTGTATGTATTTATACTCGCGCATATATATATATATATATACGTGATCGTTACATACAATTAACAATACTTTAGCTCTAATGACTGAGGCTGCCCAAAGAAAGTAATCAATGAAAACGACAAAAAAAACTATCAATGAAAAAAATAACTAGAAAATTTGACGGCAAAGGAATATAATCTTGATATTATTTTGAATTCGAGTCAAATAAAAAAAGGCAATATATAATTATTTAGTTGCTATATTTGAAAACTTGGACTATGATTTGGTCACTGCTTCCGTCAGCTGTTTTGGACGTTAGCAGGGAAAGTTGGTCGAACGAATCGTCTCGTCTTGGTATTGTTTTCTTGCGCATTTTTTTACCAGCGTAAATTTTTTTTTTTTTTTTTTTGGTATGAATTTTTACCAGCGTAACTTGTTATCTATATTCTTATTTTTTATTTATAAACGATATATTCTACCATCTAAAAATATTGTGATATGTTGTAAAAGACACTAAAACATCACATTCGATTATCTCAAATTCGATAAACTCGTCTACTGGTTTGCGGGTATTACTATTGTTGAAGTAAAACCCTCTAACTCGGTTGGAGACTTCACCGTTTAGGGTTTGAATAATAAATTTCCAGCAGAGAAAAGAGGGTGACGAAGAGAGTAGCAGATGGACGCGACGAAGGTGATCGGAGACGGCGAAGCCGACGATCGGAGTTTGAATCGCAGAGGAGTTTCCAGGTTGTATCGTTTCTCTTCTTGTCTTGGTTGTTCTCTCTTTCGATTTCTTTCTCGGAGTTGAACCGTCGAGCCTCGGGATTGTCGAGGTCGCCGGAGTTCGCTACGAACGGTGGTTCATAGTGTATTGTCGATAGGCACCGTGACAGTGACCGGGGACGCCATGCACGTGATGGGTCCGTTCTTGGGTCGAGACGATGTAGGGGCTTGTTCGATGAAGCGGATAGGCGAGGCGATAGACGAATACGTAAACGGGCGGAGGATGAGACTCTCGGCCTATCGACGCAGACTTATCTGACGGGTCATCTCCTGCACGCTTCTTCCCGGGCCGTGAGGCTTAATGCTTCTCGTGTTATTGACGGTTTTGTTCGGAAGCGGACAAGATCGTCACACACGGTACGATGTCGGACATCTCTAGTTAATTTTATTGCAAAAGTAGATTGCTTTCGAACAAAATAATAGCCAAGTTGTTCTGATTTTTTTTTAGTTTTATCCTTTTGGTAACTGTTGTGTACGATGAGATATTTGTCGGAGTTAAAAACATGTAATGAACCGATTTGTAGAGTGACACGTGTTTTTTTTAATGGTAAGAACCAACACAAAATCTCCCACGAGATGGGAAAATTCATGGGCTTTCCTCAAAAAGGGTGTAATCCAAAATTTTGGGCTTTTTTTTGGGTTCGTTTTTACGATTATGGGTCTACAAAATATAGATATATATAGTTGTACTCTGTAATAATATGTATAATTAATATGTGACACTGACATTTTTTTTCAATATTTAATTAACATCAATTAATTTTTTTTTCGTCTTTTCTACAGACAACATCCCTATAGAGGACAAACATTCTACATTATGATATAAGTTTTCTATCAGATTTTATAACATAATCGGCATAAGAATTCAAGTGGTGTTGTGCTCTCCAGTGATTCCATTTTTTAAATATTAAATCACAATATGGGTTATATTCTTAAACAACGAAATAATGATCACAATAGAGACAACACAGAAAAGAAGATAAATAAAAAATGACCAAGATGACTTGCGACGACTAAGAGGAAAGAACATAAGAAAGTGGCGAGAAGATACGCTGTATTGAAGAATTCAGACCAAATCTCATAAACTGGATCCGAGAAGAGCTCCACTTCACTTCGGAAGCCAAAACCCAGAAATCATGGAAGTTTCCAACGAGAGCTGCAGATTCGAGACGAGCGAAACGTTGGCGGCGTTTGTGGCGTCAACGCCGTTGCTGTCCGAATCTTGGAAGCTCTGTAACGCGGCTAACGCCGAAGGGAACATCCTAACGCAACACGGTGGTGGGATTTGGTACGTAGCGTTGCCGGCGGTGAATAAGCTGCCGTCGGGGGAGTTTGTGGAGTTAGAAGCCGCCGGAGAAGGGCTTTTCTCCGCCCTCCGGCGAACGTCCGCCGCCGGAGAGCCGCCGCAGATGGTGGATTCTGAGATGCTCTCTCTCTTCTCGTCCATGTTCTCACTCATTCACCCACAGGTTCGTTTCTCATTCTTTCCTTTATTTTTTTTTAATAACAAAAGGAATTTCGGTCCGATACATTTCTTTCTTTCATGACTTGTGGCTCGCATTTGATGAAAAAAGAATGAAAGAAAAAAGATGATGACGAAATTGAAATGGTTTAGAGTTTTTTTTTCTTCCGGATTTTAGAATTAAAAAATAAAAAAAAAATCTAGTCAAGATTTTATATATTGTTTTTTTTAAATCCGATAAATTATGTCATTGAAAAAATCTAAGTAAAAACCACAAATATATTTTTTTTATATTTTATATTTTTTAAAAATATCAGAATTCTGAAACTTAAAACCAAAATCTAAAATTAAAAATTCGAAAGAAAAAATCTATCTCCATCCATAAATTTAGTTGTGTCGGTGAATTTTTCAATCTATAATTGCGTGTTTTAGATTATATTTTTCAGAGTGTGCGCGCTTAATTTTCAATGTGTTTCAAAGTATATTTTTTTTTCATTGAATGAATTTTGAGAACCCAAGATATTTTATGGAATCATAATTTTTTTTTACAAAAATTCGTACGATTAGGCTTAAATTATTGGTTATGATGAGATGTTACATTATTGCTTCCCCACCACCCACTATAATAATGAAAAAATATGCCCTCTCCCTATCTATATTGCTTGTGTGTGTCTCTATACAATTATACATGCCTATGTATATAAAATATATTACATATTTTCTATAAAGTGGTGCTTTTGGAAATAGAAAGATGACCAAAACAATTAATTATTATTATTTTTTTGGTAAAGAAAAAAATTAATTATTTTAAAGTGGGTTTGCATCATTAACGCCCTTTGGATCGGATGAGTGGACGTAGAGCAATTAATCAAATGATTAATGGTTAAACCGGCATGCTTTTGTGGTAGGTTTAGTTAGATTAGCGAATTGTTATATTCCGGCATCTTATATATTGACGGATAATATTAGAATATGACCCATCGTTATAAATCTTTTGATCATCTCCTTTTTCTATCATATAAATATTTTTCGTTTTTTCTCCAACCTTTTTTCGCATTAATTTCAAGGATATAAAATTGATTACCTGTCCATAAACCAAAGTTCTGTAAAAAAAAAATAGATTCGATCCGTTACGAGCTATAAGCCGAATCTCATAATTTTTTCATTTCACAAGTAGATCCCCATATAAGAACCTTCCCATTTATACAGGAATTTTGATTACAGTTCATTTACATGAAAACTTTAGTATAAATAAATTACGTAACATTACTGCATGATGCAGATAATGGGATGCATGGAAGGAAGAAAGCTGGTGTTAACCGGACATTCAGGCGGAGGGGCAATGGCCTCTCTCACTGCCCTTTGGCTCCTCTCTTATCTTCAGTCACTCTCATCCTCTTCCCTCCACGTCCTCTGCATCACCTTTGGCTCTCCCTTACTCGTAAACCGGTCCCTCTCCACCGTTATTACCCGGTTACGCTTTAACCGGAACTTCTGCCACGTGGCCTCCACCCGGGACATCGTACCGAGGTTTCTCCTGTCCCCTCACTCTCCCGAGATCGCCCGTCTAATATCCTCATCCCTCCACTTGCAAAATGCTTCATCACCGGAGGGGTCCGGAAGAGGGGAGTTCTGGCCATTCGGAAGCTATCTCTTCTGTTCGGAGGAGGGAGGTGTCTGTATAGACGATTCTGAATTGGTCTGTAGAATGCTTGTGATGCTAAACGCGAGGACGACGGGGGCCTTGGAGATGGAGGATCATCTCAAGTATGGAAACTACGTAGAGATTCTCTCTCAGCAGTTTCTCAAGGCGAGGAGCTTCAATGGCGGAAATGTCTCTGAGTCAAGCTATCATGCAGGTGTCGCATTGGCGGTTGAAGCTATGGGGATATCTCATGAGGTATATATGATCTTTTTCCTTCGCTATATATGCGTATGATCATGTTAAGAAATGTTCTTTCATGTCCTTGGAAACTGGTTCTTGGTTCTGGAAACTAGTATACTTCAATGGAGAAATGTGTCGTTATGAACACAACTGCAGGAACCAGCTGCAGCAGAAGCAAGGGGATGCATAGAAACAGCGAGAAGAATCAGCCAGGCGCCAATCCTGAAATCCACTGAGATCTCCAATGATCTCGGCCGTTTTTTACGCTGCAGACTGGAGATTCAATGGTACAAGGAACGTTGCGACGCATCAACAGAGCAACTCGGGTACTACGATTTCTTCAAGCGAGGGACGATGAGGAGCAACTCCAGGATCAACATGAACCGAGTCAAGCTGGCGAAATTCTGGGACGGCGTCATAGAAATGATCGAAAAGAACGAGCTTCCTTTCGATTTCCATCTCAGGGCGAAATGGTTATACGCTTCACAGTTCTACCAGCTCTTAGCCGAGCCACTCGACATTGCCTACTTCTACAAGAACAGGAAGCCGGAGGAGAGAGGCAACCATTACCTGATGCAGGGAAACAGACCAAAGAGGTACGTGGCGTTTGATAATTGGTGGAGAGAACGCCCGGAGTCGCACAAGAAGAAGTACGAGAGGACGAGGTACGCCAGCTCTACGCAGGATACGTGCTTCTGGGCCAAGCTGGAAGAAGCGATAGAGAATCTAGATGACGTCAGGACGGAGACTGATGGCTGCAAACGATCGATCTTGTGGGAAAAGGTGGTAGCTTTCGAAAGATACGCCGATGAACTGGTGAGGAAGAAGGACGTCTCGATCGATGTTCTGGCGAGGAACTCGAGTTACAGTAAATGGGTCGAGGCTCTGAGGGAGTTCAAGTCGCAGATGTCTCCTGACTCTATGGAGACAATGTAAACTTGTCAGTTTTTTATCATCCGACAAATCTCCACAGATGTTAGATGTGTTTGCTGAAGTGATCGTATATATGTATCTGCGACTGTAATAAAAAGGAGAATCTGCAAATGGAAATATCCTTTAGTATATTATGTTGAATTATTTTCTGAAATTTTTGTATAACATTTTTAAAATGTGTACACATAATGCGTGTTCGACCGTTGCTTTCTTCCCACGTCACATGCTTTGTGATAAACATACACATTCATGTTCTTCTCTGTTTCTGAAAAAGAGAGCCATGTAAACATAAGTCGGAAATCTCGGGCTAAGATTCTGGGATGGTGCCATAAAAATATACATGCTTTTTATATATATATATATATATATATAAATATTGAAGCACGATAAACTCCCAAATTATAAATGAAATTACCATTCAAATAGATAACGAAGTTTTATTTCCAAGTTTGAGAACGAAATATATTTATAGCAATGCTTTTATTTCCTTGTAATTTTTTTCTACAAAATATAAATATATAAACAAAGTAAAATTAACAAAATTTATAAAAATAAAAATATCTACAAAAATAGACAACCTATATAATTATATATATCTATCAGTTATAAAAATCATTTTTGGTAGATAATATTTTTTTTTTCTGGATTTTCTCTTTAAAATAAATAAAAATAAATTAGAGGGATGGAGTTTATATAGTAAAGATTAAATTGATTTTTTTTTCAAATAATTCATAGAAATATGGATTTAATTGAATTTGGAGAAAGAATTTTATAGCAAAGTGCTACAAAACTGTGTTACTAGGTTTGTATATATCTGTTCTGATTCGATTTATCAAAGCAATTTATTTTTAATTTGTGTACATTTGCGTATATAATGATTCAAGTGAAATAATTTGTTGATTTGCGGTTAGTTATTTGTTGCACTAAATTTGCATGATTACGCTTATTTTTTTTCTTCTATTTCTTTAGTTTTATGGTTTATAGTGTAATATAAACCCAGCTATATATATATATATATATATATATCAAAGAAATATCAATAAAAGTTCAAAAAAAAAATAATAAAAAAGTAATTATGCCATTTAATTGGAAGTTCAAAAGGAATATTGTGTTTCCTTTTTC